CGATTCATACCTGGGAAACGAGGATCTATATCAACTGGTAAAGGCTTTTTATTTCGAGCCCAATTGTTCCCGACTGGCCCTGTTTTTCTGGTCGGGTGATCACGTACTAAAACCTTTTCTTTCACCTCCACATTAAAAGAACCGTCTGGATGGTCCCATTTTTCAGCGACTGGCTTCTCACAAACTTTGAGTCGTTCTTCCGGTCGGCTGCTATTTGGCTGAGTTCCTTTCTTTGTTCCGGGGCTTGCCTGAGTTCGTTCCCCTGTTTGTCCACTATTGGCCAAAATTTTCCCTGTTTCTGAACTTGGTTGGATGTCAACCATTGCCGTTGTTACTTTCGGAAACGGTTGCTGATCTACACCTAGAGTGATGTATTTGAGCCGACCTGTCTTGATGGCCTTTTGAATTTCCTTCCTGAAATGAGTACACTGACTTGTGTTGTGTGTAAAAGAATTATGCCACTTACAATATGGTCTCCCTTTGATTTCTTCTTTAGTGGCCAATCTTTGCCCCTTTGGAATACGGATCTGCCCATCAGTCAGTAGGATATCAAAGATTTCATCAGCTTTCGAACTATCAAACGTCGGTTGCTCCTTTCTTTCAGATCCTGGTACTGGCTTCAATTTAGGGCATACATAAGGTTTTCCAGAAAGGATTTCGGCTGCCATCTCTTCTGACTGATTAAAATCAAAGTCACATGTTTCTGTTCCCATACTCGCCATATGTTGGCCTCTATTACGCCTGTTATGCTGATCTTCCTCTCTGAACAAAGACTCTAAACGTCCTGCCTTGGATGCAAGACTTGCCAAATCCTCAACATCCAGGGCAGTGAGTGCCTTTCTTAAGCGAGTATGCATATTCCGGACCACTAAATTGGTCATCTCTTTCTCACTGATTACCGTAGGACATCGTCCCTTCATCAATCGCACCCTTTCTATAAACTGTGAAGCAGATTCTTCTGGATACTGTCTCAATTCTAGTAAATCAGTTAAAGAAACAGTTGGTAAAGGATTGAAGAATCTGGCATGAAATGCCATCTCCAGTCCTTCCCACGTCTGAATTTGTCCAGGAGGCAGACTTGCAAACCATGAAAACGCTGTTCTAGTAAGAGATAAACCAAACAGCTGCAACTTATAAAAAGGGTTATTGCCAACTTCTCCTAATTGTGCTGTGAACCGACCAACATGTTCTATGGTGGAAGATCCGTCCTCCCCAGAGAATGCATGAAAATCGGGTGGTCGATAATTCCTTGGGAGAGGGTGTTCATTAATGATCCTTTCTGGGAAAGGTCTCTGATATGCAGGGCGGTTAGCCATCTGAGGAGTTAATCCATACTGATCCCTTAATATATGTGCAATCTCATCAGGATCTACATGAAAGCGTTGATGATCAGGAACATGGAACGGATCCTGCACAGGAATATGAATAGGATCATGTATATATCCTTCAGGCCTGTCCTCCCTTGTATTGTTCGGCTGCGGATTGGTAACCCTTGGTCCCAGTGGAACAGTGTTGGGAAAAGTCAGAGGAGATTTTCCCCTATCCATTCGGTTGGGATTTGTGGCACTTGGGAATGTACTATCCACGAATGATGGCCCTGCGAAATTTGCCTGTAGTCTGGATGGTGATACTCCTGGTGGAGTTTGAGTAGGTCGAAGACTAACCCTTGATAGTGCTTGATCTATCATGTTCTGCATCAAACTCTGTTGCTCACGCAACATGTTCGTTTGTTGCTCACGCAACATATTCTGCATAACCAAAGTGTGCTGGTTGTTCATTTGTTGAACATAAGACCACCAATCAGTTGGTGGTTGTGGGATTTCCCCGGCATTTGGCACAATAGGTGGTGGAACGGATTCTCCCACCGGTGCCGAAGATGATTGAGGTTGTGAACCTGCCATATGGACCCTTCCGATGATACGGCCGGATCTAAGACGTATGAAATTATCGCCGGAATTGGAATGAGCAATTTTGTCTTGCTCCCACTGTGGTCGCCAATTTGTTGATGTAATTTTTCAACAAAAATAAAGTAAAATTCAAAGATATAGAAAATATCCTTAAACTTGATTAATTAGTGCCTGAGATTAGGAATCTCTAAACACTGTATGGTACAGAAAATAAACTGGAAAATAAAAGACTGAAATTTAAAGTGGTGATCCCCAAATCTGACTTTGCTTTGTTGAAGTTGATTGAAGATCCCTTGCCAAATGATGATCCAAACCCTTAAATATTCTCTGGGAAACTGTACTGAAAACCGTCACCCGAACGGTTACAACGTCTCCTTCCCAACCGTCTTCCAACCCTTCTCCTGCTGACACGTGTCCTCAGCAAACCGAAATTATCCCTATATTTCACCCTTTGAGCCAACCACAGACCTTCCGCCCTTTAGGCCCGACTGCCAATCTACAATAGTATGGGTCCGACTGCCAATCCTCCCGACTTGCAAACCATCTGACTTGTTTGGATTAGCTACAGACACCCCGATTAACAAACCAACCGATTTGTTGGTTCTGCCGCAGAATTCCGACCTGAGAACTTCCCGACCTGAGGACCTCCCGACTTGCGGACTTCCCGTCCTGAAGGCCACCCGACCTGCGGACTTCCCGTCCTGAAGGCCTCCCGACCTGCGGACTTCCCGTCCTGATGACTTTCCATCTTGAGGACCTCCCGACCTGAAAACCTTCCGACTTGAGGTCTTTCCGTCTTGAGGACCTACCGACCTGAGGTCCTTCCGTCCTGATGACTTTCCGTCTTGAGGACCTCCCGACCTGAAGACCTTCCGACTTGAGGTCTTTCCGTCTTGAGGACCTACCGACCTGAGGTCCTTCCGTCCTGATGACTTTCCGTCTTGAGGACCTCCCGACCTGAAGACCTTCCGACCTGAGGTCTTTCCGTCTTGAGGACCTACCGACCTGAAGACCTTCCGACCTGAAGTCTTTCCGTCTTGAGGACCTACCGACCTGAGGTCCTTCCGTCCTGAGGACTTTCCTTAGAAATAAACCTATTTTCCTTGATTTCCTCACGGTGTCCTTCAGCCAGTTCAATCAACTCTATTGCCAGGCCCATTCTTCTTTTTACCTTGGGCTTTTAACCTAATTCTAAATTTCGTACGTAACAACCTGCCCGCCGCCAAGGGACTTTCAAACGCCATCTAACAATCAATGTTTGGAAGTTCATAAATCACTACCCTCTTGAAAAATTCCCTTAGCAACTGCACCAGTTACTGCAACACTCCTGATTAACTTCCTTCTCCGCAATACGAGCTTTTGTGAATCACAATCCCAAAACACTCTAACCATGGCGAATCAATACATTCCTGCCCTTCCTTTCGACGGAACCCTCCCAGAGGGCCCATTTTCAGCCTCGAAAGTACTAACTCCGACGATCCGCCCATATTGCACTACTCCTGAAGACTCAAATCGGATGAGGGAAGTTTTGGAATCCCGAAATTCCTTGGCTATCAACAACCCTAACTACCAAGCAGTTCGCATTCGAGACAGCATCAAAACAACAATTTTATATCACTTTGTTATAAATTTTGATTGGAAATCTACAATATCATCTGATCGAGAAAGAGATAAATAATTTCAAGTTTTTGTCAAACCTTGGGTGTATCGGAAGAACCTCGAGTGTATCGAAAGAATCGCAAGTGTTTCAAAAATGGAAATTCAATCTAAATGTTGTTAAATCTAAATGATTGACAACATCAACAATTTATCCAAAGAGAAAGACAGAAGGAATATGAGAATGGAGTAAAAAACAAGCATCACCTTAAGTTTAGGTTCGGCTCTCCGAATAATAGATGTAGAATGTAAAATCTCTTTTCCTTATGACACAATTCCAGATTTAGGACATGCGTGTGGTTTGCTTTATATAATTAAACAAAATAATATTCCTATAAGGGAAGAGGTATGAGCTTTTTCTCGAACCTAGAGTGTGTCATAGAATCGAACCTCAAGTGCATCGAAAAAGTAGGTTCACTCGCAATTTAGTTAAAACCAAATGATAATTGCATCAACAATCTATCAAAAGAGAAAATGAAGAATATGGTAATATATTGAAAAAGAGACATCACCTTAGTTTGAATGCGACTCTCCAAATAGTTAGAGGTAGAATTTCAATCTTCAATCTCGTGATCACTCAATTCAAGATTTAAGAAATGTGCAAGTTCACTCTCTGTAGATAATTATATAGGAATTTTATTATTAATGTTCAAGGTCGGTACTACAAATTGAATTGGGTTGGGCCAAGAACGTTAGAAAAATCCAAAATCGGTAAATTTAAAAATAATGGATTATTAAGTGTTTGTTTACTTATTTTTTATTTTCACAGTTTTCAATGTACTCTTATTAAAAAGACTATATATTGTATACAATCTCTATTTTTTTTCATTCAAAAATATACATACACTATATTTTTATCTCAAAATATAAAATTTAGAACTTCACAACAAAATTCAAGAGACACCTTATAATGGTACATCTATCAATAATTAATTCTTTTCATATCTTTAACAAATATAATGATCCTTATGAAAAATAAATTTTAAATTTTATGTTAAAAGAAAATGGTGATGTTGAATTTGACGTTTTTAACATAAATATAGGTATACTGAATGTTGCATAGCCTAAAAATAGATACAAAAGAAAGTGCCTCTTATATTTGTTGCATTGTATACTTATTTATTATTAATTTGATCTTGTGATTTTTCATAATTGTGATTTAGGTAAATTAAAAATCATTAATTTTCATGACTAAGATTATTGTTGGGATTTATTTTGGCCGAATTGTCCTCCAGCCTTTCGGACCCACTCCAGTGTCTGTTTGGTGCGTGACCTGCATCTCCAACCCAGTTCACATGGCCCAACCAACTGTGTCTAACCCCTGTCTCCTCAGGAGTGAATCCCAGCCATTCATTTTAGGGATCACGTCTGAGCCGTCCATCTTGAGTTATATATATAGTGTTGTCCCTCATTATACAGAAGCATAGATGTGCCACTGCTGAAATCGCTCTCTCTGAAATTTCGTCTCCCTCTAGCAAGTCTCTCTTCTTCAGTTGCCTTGTATTCGAAGTTGGTCCTTTCTGGCAGATTTACCATAGAATGGAGAGGTGATTCTTCTGTGTGCCTTCGGGAGTGTTAGGTGAGGATTTCAACGGTTCGATTCTCCTTAAATCAAATTGTTTCTAATAGAGTGTTAGGGTTTGTTGCTTTGATGTTGTAGACTAGGTTTTCGGTGAGGGTCCGTTAGCCGTCAACCGTTGCATTACTGTTTTTGGTTGCTTTTCATCTATAAGAGTATACCTTGTAAAATCTGAGCTACAATAGTTTGTGCCTTTGCGTTCCTACTGTGTTCTTGGGTCTTTTCGATTCTAATAGAAGTTCTATTTAGTTTCTTTAATCTTGTTTTAGATTTACTTTTTAGGTACGGATTCAAATGGATATAAATTTTAGATACACTAGAGAATTGTTCAATATACTCAAAGTTGCACAAAACTCAAAATTATTTCGGAGAATTAAGTAGTGGAGTATTTGGAGATTTTGCATTTGTGATCCATTATTCGCAGAGTGGCATCTAAACAAAAGGATATGTTACTTTTTCAATTGTCTCTTATTCGTGCGTTTTCATTTCTCCTTTGATATACTTATTGTATTGTTATTCATTCAACTTTTAGCTACTATTGGACTGGATCTATGTTTTTGATAGTCAAGATTTTTCTTATATACTCGAGGTCGGACAAAAAATAAAAATTAATTTGAAGAATTGACTAGTCTAGATTCGATTCATTATTGATATTGCCATTCATTTACTTTTTAGGTATGACTTAACTGCATCTCACTTTTCGATACACTCGAGATTTTTTCAATATAGTTGAGGTTGGAAAAAATTCAAAACTAATTCCGGAGAATTAAGTAGTTGAGAATTTCAAGATTTTATGTTTTAGATCGTTTTAGATCCATGATTTACAGAGTGACTTTTAAACACAATGTTATGTTTCTTTTTTAATCTATTCTTATACATGCATTTTCCTTTTTGCTTTGTAAATTGTTGGTATTGTTATTCATTCAATTCTTCACTACGATTCGACTAGGTCCAGATTTTTCATGTAATCAAGACTTTTTCTGATATACTGGAGGTTGGTTAAAACCTCAAAATTATTTCGGAGAATTGAGATTGCGAGAATTAAAAGTATTGTTGATATTGCTACTCATTTAGTTTTTAGGTATGATTAAGTTGGATCGAAGTTTTTGATGAGGTCAAGATATTTTCAATATACTCAAGGTTCGACGAAAATCAAAGTTATTTCGTATAATTAAGTAGTCAAGAAATTGGAGTTTTCACATTTTAGATTAATTATTTGGAGAGTGGAATTTAAAAATAAAGTTATGTTTCTATTATCATATATTCTTATACATGCATTTCCGTTTCTGTTTTGAGACATTGTTGTTATTGTTATTCAATCAATTTTCAGCTACGATTCAACTGGATATAAGTTTTTGATATACTCAAGATTTTTTTCAATATACTTGAGGTTGGACAAAAACTCCAAACTAATTTGGAGAATTGTTTAATTGAGAACTCGATAAATTGTTGATATTACTATTTATTCTGTTTTTAGGTACGATTCAACTGGATCTAAGTTTTCGATACACTCGAGAATTGTTCAATATATTCAAAGTTGGACAATAACTCAAAATTATTTTGGAATATTAAGAAGTCGAGAATTTGGAGATTACGCATTTGTGATCCATTATTCGCAGAATGGCATCTGAACACAAGGTTATGTTGTTTTTTCAATCTATTCTTATTGATGCGTTTTCATTTCTCATTTGATATACTAATGGTATTGTTATTCATTCAGCTTTTAGCTACTATTGGACCGGATTTATGTTTTTTATATATTCAAGATTTTTTTTATATACTTGAGGTCGGACAAAAACTAAAAATTAATTTGGAGAATTGACTAGTCTAGATTAGATTCATTGTTGATATTTCCATTCATTTACTTTTTAGGTACGACTTAAGTGCATCTCACTTTTCGATACACTCGAGATTTTTTCAATGTACTTGAGGTTGGACAAAACTAAAAATTAATTCCGGAGAATTAAGAAGTTGATAATTTAAAGATTCTATGTTTTAGATCGTCTTAGATCCATTATTTGTAGAGTGACATCTAAAAAAAAGTCTATGTTTCTTTTTCAATATATTCTTAAACATGCATTTTCCTTTTTGCTTTGTACATAGTTGGTATTGTTCTTAGTTCTATTCTTTGCTTACGATTAGACTAAATCTAAGTTTTTGATGTAATCAAGATATTTTTCTATATACTCGAGGTTGGATAAAACCTCAAAATTAATTTGAAGAATTGAGATGGCGAGAATTAAAAGTATTGTTGATATTGATATTCATTTAGTTTTTAGGTATGACTCATTGGATATAAGTTTTTGATGAGGTCAAGATATTTTCAATATACTCAAGGTTGGACAAAAATCAAAATTACTTTGGGTAATTAAGTAGTCGAGAAATTGGACATTTCAAATTTTAGATCCATTATTTGGAGAGTGGAATTTAAAAATAAAGTTTTATTTCTCTTACAATCGATTCTTATACATGCACTTTCGTTTATGGTTTGATACATTGGTTGTATTGTTATTCATTCAATTTTTAGTTACGATTCAACCGGATCTAAGTTTTTGATATAGTCAAGATATTTTTTGATATACTTGAAGTTGGACAAAAACTCCAAATTGATTTGCAGATTTCCGTAATCAACAATTCGATGCATTGTTGATATTACTATTCATTTAGTTTTTTGGTACGGTTCAATTGGATCTAAATTTTTGATACACTTGAGAATTATTCAATATACTCAAAGTGGGACAAAACTCAAAATTATTTCAAACAATTAAGTAGTTGAGAATTTTGAGATTATACATTTTTTATCCATTATACTCAGAGTGGCATCTAAACACAAGGTTATGTTGCTTTTTCAATCCATTCTTATTCATGCGTTTTCATTTCTCATTTGATATACTAATGGTATTGTTATTCATTAAACTTTTAGCTACTATTCGACTGGATTTATGTTTTTGATATACTCAAGATTTTTTCTTATATACTTGAGGTCGGACAAAAACTAAAAGTTAATTTGGAGAATTGACTAGTCTAGATTCGATTCATTGTTGACATTTCCATTCATAGAGTTTTTAGGTACGGCTTAACTGCATCTCACTTTTTGATACACTCGAGATTTTCTCAATATAGTTAAGGTTGGAAAAAACTTAGAACTAATTCCAGAGAATTAAGTAGTCGAGAATTTAAAGATTTTATATTTTAGATCGTTTTAGATCCATGATTTGCAGAGTGGCTTCTAAAAACAATGTTATGTTGCTTTTTCAATCTATTTTTAGACATGCATTTTCCTTTTTGCTTTGTATATTGTTGGTATTGTTATTCATTCAATTCTCCGCTACGATTCTACACGTACTAAGTTTTTTATGTAATCAATATTTTTTTCATATACTCGAGGTTGGATAAAACCTCAAAATTAAGTCAGAGAACTGAGATGGCGTGAATTCAAAGCATTGTTGATATTGTTATTCATTTAGTTTTTAGGTGTGATTCAGTTGGATCTAAGTTTTTGATGACGTCAAGATGCTTTCAACATACTAAGGTTGGACAAAAATAAAAATTATTTCAGATAATTAAGTAGTAGAAAAATTGGAGATTTCACATTTTAGATCCATTATTTGGAGAGTTGAATTTAAAAATAAAGTTATGTTTCTGTTACAATCTATTCTTATACACGCATTTTCGTTTCTGGTTTGATACATTGTTGGTATTGTTATTCATTCAATTTTTAGCTATGACTCAACCAGATCTAAGTTTTTGATATATTCAAGATTTTTTTCGATATACTTGAGGTTGGATAAAAACTCCAAACTAATTTGAGAAATTGCATAATTGAGAACTCGATACATTTTGTTGATATTACTATTAATTTTGTTTTTAGGTACGATTCAACCGGATTTAAGTTTTTGATACACTCGAGAATTGTTCAATATACTCAAAGTTGGAAAATAACTCAAAATTATTTCGGAGAATTAAGAAGTCGAGACTTGCAGATTACGCATTTGGGATTCATTATTCGCAGGGTGGCATCAAAACACAAGGTTATCTTGCTTTTTCAATCTATTCTAATTCATGCATTTTCATTTCTCCTTTGATATACTAATGGTATTGTTATTCATTTAACTTTTAGTTACTATTCGACCGGATTTATGTTTTTGATATACTCAAGATTTTTTTTTTATATACTTAGGTCGGACAAAAACTAAGATTTAATTTGGATAATTAACTAGTCTAGATTCGATTCATTATTGATATTGCCATTCATTTACTTTTTTGGTACGACTTAACTGCATCTAACTTTTTGACACACTCGAGATTTTTTCAATATACTTGAGGTTGGGAAAAACTCAAAACTAAATCCGGAGAATTAAGTAGTCGAGAATTTCAAGATTTTATGTTTCAGATCGTTTTAGATCCATGATTTACAAAGTGGCTTTTAAACACAATGTTATGTTTCTATTTCAATCTATTTTTATACATGCATTTTCCTTTTTGCTTTGTACATTGTTGGTATTATTATTAATTTAATTCTCCGCTATGATTCGACTAGAACTAAGTTTTTTATGTAATCAATATTTTTTTTCCATATACTCGAGGTTGGATAAAACTTCAAAATTAAGTCAGAGAACTGAGATGGCGTGAATTCAAAGCATTTTTTATATTGTTATTCATTTAGTTTTTAGGTGTGATTCAGTTGGATCTAAGTTTTTGATGAGGTCAAGATATTTTCAATTTACTCAAGGTTGGACAAAAATCAAAATTATTTCAGATAATTAAGTAGTAGAGAAATTTAAGATTTCACATTTTAGATGAATTATTTGGATAGTGGAATTTAAAAGTAAAGTTATGTTTCTATTATCATCTATTTTTATACATGCATTTTGGTGTCTGGTTTGATATATTGTTCGTATTGTTATTTATTCAATTTTCAGCTACGGTTCAACCAGATATAAGTTTTTGATATACTCAAGATTTTTTTTTCGATATACTTGAGGTCGGACAAAAAACTCCAAACTAATTTGGAGAATTGCGTAATTGAGAACTCGAAAAATTTTTAGTATTAATATTCATTCAATTTCTAGCTACGATTCAACCGGATCTAAGTTTTTGATATACTCAAGATTTTTTTTGATTTACTTGAGAGTTTTTACGATATACTTGAGGTTGGACAAAAACTCCAAAGTAATTTGAAGAATTGTGTAATTGAGAACTCGATACATTGTTGATATTACTATTCATTTTGTTTTTAGGTACGATTTCACCGGATTTAAGTTTTTGATACACTCGAGAATTGTTCAATATACTCAAAGTTGGACAATAACTCAAAATTATTTCGGAGAATTACGAAGTCGAGAACTTGGAGATTACACATTTGTGATTCATTTTTCGCATAGTGGCATCAAAACACAAGGTTATGTTGTTTTTTCAATCTATTCTAATTCATGCATTTTCATTTCTCCTTTGATATACTAATGGTATTGTTATTCATTTAACTTTTAGTTACTATTCGACCAGATTTATGTTTATGATATACTCAAGATTTTTTTTTATATACTTGAGGTCGGACAAAAACTAAAAATTGATTTGGATTGACTAGTCTAGATTTGATTCATTGTTGATATTGCAAATCATTTACTTTTTAGGTATGACTTAATTGCATCTCACTTTTCGATACACTCGAGATTTTTTCAATGTACTTGAGGTTGGACAAAACTAAAAACTAATTCCGAAGAATTAAGTTGTTGAGAATTTAAAGATTTTATGTTTTAGATCTTCTTAGGTCCATTATTTGCAGAGTGGTATCTAAACACAAGTCTATGTTTCTTTTTCAATCTATTCTTATACATGCATTTTCCTTTTAGCTTTGTACATTGTTGGTATTGTTATTCATGTAATTCTTCACTACGATTCCAGTAGATCTAAGTTTTTGAAGTAATCAAGATTATTTTTGATATACTCGAGGTTGGAAAAACTCAAAACTAATTATGGAGAATTAAGTAGTCGAGAATTTCAAGATTTTATGTTTTAGATCCATGATTTATAGAGTGGCTTTTAAACACAATGTTATGTTTCTTTTTCAATCTATTCTTATACATGCATTTTACTTTTTGCTTTGTAAATTGTTGGTATTGTTATTCATTCAATTATCCGCTATGATTCGACTAGAACTAAGTTTTTTATGTAATCAATATTTTTTTCCATATAGTCGAGGTTGGATAAAACCTCAAAATTAAGTCAGAGAACTGAGATGGCGTGAATTCAAACCATTGTTGATATTGTTATTCATTTAGTTTTTAGGTATGATTTAGTTGGATCTAAGTTTTTTATGAGGTCAAGATATTTTCAATATACTCAAGGTTGGACAAAAATCAATATTATTTTGGATAATTAAGTAGTCAAGAGATTGGAGATTTCACATTTTCGATCAATTATTTGGAGAGTTGAGTTTTTTAAAAAAAGGTTATGTTTCCTTTAAAATCTATTCTTATACATGCATTTTCATTTCTGCTTTGATACATTGTTGGTATTGTTATTCATTCAATTTCTAGCTTCAATTCAACCGGATATAAGCTTTTTATATACTCAAGATTTTTTTCGATATACTTGAGGTTGGACAAAAAATCCAAATTAATTTGGAGAACTGCGTAATTTAGAACTCGATACATTGTTGATATTACTATTCATTTGGTTTTTAGGTACGATTCAACTGGATCTAAATTTTTGATACACTCGAGAATTTTTCAATATACTCAAAGTTAGACAAAACTCAAAATTATTTCGGAGAATTAAGTACTTGAGAATTTGGAGATTACACATTTGTGATCCATTATTCGCGGAGTGACATCTTAACAAAAGGTTATGTTGCTTTTTCAATCTATTCACATTATTGTGTTTTCATTTCTCCTTTGATATTCTTATGGTATTGTTATTCATTCCACTTTTAGCTACTATTCGACCGGATCATTGTTTTTGATATACTCAAGATATTTTTTACATACTCAAGGTCAAACATAAACTAAAAATTATTTCATAGAATTGACTAGTCTAGATTCGATTCGTTGTTGATATTTCCATTCATTTACTTTTTAGGTACGACTCAACTGCATCTCACTTTTCGATACACTTGAGATATTTTCAATATATTTGAGTTTGGAAAACGATCAAAACTAATTCCAGAGAATTAAGTAGTCGAGATATTCAATCTATTTTTATATGGATTCTTGTTACTCATTTGATTGATTTTTGATATTGTAATTCATTCAGTTTTAGGCTATGATTCAACTGGATCTAAGGTTTTTATGTACTTAAGGTCGGACTATAATTCAAAATTATTTTATCTCTTTCTTGGCAAAATGATTTTATCATATGCTTCTTAAATCCTTAATTAAGTAGTCGATAATTCAATGATTTCATATTTATATATATTATTTGGAGCGTTAAATAAAAACTCAAGATGATGTTTCATTTTCAATATATATATATTTTTTATATGTTTTCCTTTTCTCTTTTGATGTTGTTATGCATTAACTGTTATTTGATTAGATCTAGCCTTTATATATATACATATCTATATACATTAAAGTTTAATTAATTACACCCCAAGTTTGACTAAAACTTAAACTAATTTGCCAAATTTAAAAACCAAAATTGGTGAAGATGGAAAAACCTTTATAGTAAAGGTTACATGAATTGTTGTTCTCATTACTATAATATTTTGGGAGGAGAATAATTAGGTACATTAAAAATAAAGCCAATGCCTATTTATAGGCATAGTCTAAAATGGATAAAAATGAATAATAAGATAAACAAATAAATATTCCAAGCCGTAAATGTCAACTTGAGTTTGTGTAAGAGAGAACAAAACTGAGCGACATAATGTGTGTGTCACCCCGGCCCGCAAGCCCCGCAAAGCCGGGCTTGCCCGGATCATAGACTAGCCCACAAGTCAACACGAGTTCTTCTAGCAGAGTTCTGTCCTTACTCATGTGCACTGTGAGAGACTTTTCAGGGGGTCACACATCCTTAAATTACTCTAAGATAAGCACGCTTAACTCTAGAGTTCTTTCAGTAGGGCTTCTAAAAAGAAATATGCACATTATTGACATGAGTAGTATATTCAACCAATTTATTTACTATTCAATCTTTGATGGCCTGACACTGGCTCATCTACGGGAGTTGGGCTAGCACCGGCCCAACTTTGGGGGTATTACATCCTCCCGCACTTAAGAATGAAACGTCCATGTTGTACCCCAATGATCTATCAACTACTAGGCCTCTATAGGGATACTATGGTCATGTATCTTGACTGCGATGATGTCAGTATTCCTATGGAGATTATTTCAGCGACGAATTCTGACGGACGCGATCCTTTAGCACTATAGGGTCTCGATTGCATCACGATGTCATTGTTATCATATAGAGGTGGAGACTATTCCACATCTCTTTATTGGTTCGGCGGTTGCCTAGCGAGTGTTGGAGCATTTTACGGAGCTTTTCAGGCTATCTTTGCCGAAAACACATGCACTGCATCTATTTGTGTCCTCATAGAGGCTTTCTTTGGCATATTCTCAGAGTATTAGAGCTTATGTTCCGTTGTTGATACTATAGTTCATTTGGATTGCTCGGAACAATGCGAAGCACAGGGGGCTTCGCGTGTCTTCTTGCGGATTCATTCACACTTGCATACTTTTTGCCGTGCTAGGATTCTTCAACGTCGACATTGGGAAGGCAATATTCATATAACTGATGGGCTTGGATTTTGATATCCCGCTCTGATTCCTTGGCCTCCAATTATGGTGCGTTGGGAGGCACCGTCTCCGGGATGGTTTAAGCTTAACACAAATGGTTCTTCGCTTGGCAATCTGGAGCGGCAGGTATTATCCGAGATTCGGAAAGAGTAGTACTCATAGTGTTTCAGACTCTGATTCTGTAGGCGACGAACACTTTGGCAGAGCTGACGATTATTCAAACTGGAGTTTGGATAGCGATTGATCAAGGACTGATAGCACTATGGATTGAGACAGATTCGACAACATGCATCTCTTTGATCTCCTCCGAGACAAGTGACTGAACTCTCTAGCGATGCCTTATGTGTATTCGATTGTGGCTTAGGGATGCGACTTTGCGGATACCTTATATATATATATATAGGGGAACTATGTCGCGGATGCCTTAGCGACTTTAGCAGTTTCTCTTCCAATTTCACAGACACTTCTCCCGAAAGATATCCCTTCATCGACTAGAGGCCTCTTTTGAGCGGATGCAAACGGTCTCCCAACTTCCCGTTTCAGGTAGCAGGTTTCACCTACTTATTTGTCTTTGGGACACTTATGCTTAGACTTAATAGGCTTGTTAGTGTTGATGCCTTAGGCATACCTAGGCTTGTCTGGTATGCATGCTTGGCTTGGACTTTATAGCTTGTATCAGCAGAACTACATATGACTTGATCCCATTCGGGTAAGTAGGCAGCCCAATTTGGTCGCAACCTTTGCTATAAAAAAAAAATAATTGCTAGGCCTCTCCACAGTCAGGCTAAAAATTTTTGTCTGTCGCAGGTCAACTCTGATATCAACTGTGACACCCCGGGTTGCAAGCCCCGCAAATCCGGGTGTGCCAGGATCATAGATTGGTCCCACAGGTCAACACGAGTCATTCTAGCACAATTTTGTCCTTAGTAACACGCACCGTAGGAGATTTCATAGTGGTCACCCATCGTCAATACCGCTACGGAAAAGGAATGTGCCCATTTCTTACATGAGTAGTCTATTCAATCAATTTAATTAATATTCAATTTCGAATGGACTCAAGCCGGCTCATCCACGGGAGTTGGCCTAGCACCGATCCAACTCCGGAGGTATGAAAAACATCTGCAGTTCGATTGTTTGAATATACAGGGCCTAACTTAACATGTCCATAAGTATTATGATGATTAACAAGATGCCAATCAATCTCGATTTATTTGGTGGGCTCGTGAAAAATATCATTGTAAAAAATAAGGATAGCACTTCTATTGTCGCAATACAAAGGAATAAGAGATGAATGCGATACTTTAAGGTCATCAAGTAATCAATAAAACCACAGGAGCTCAAAAGTAGCGATCAGCAAGGGCACAATATTCGAATTTAGTACTGGAATGAGAGCCAACTATTTGTTTCTTTCTACGCCAGAAGACAAAATAATCGCCAATAAAGAAGCAAAAACCAGTGATGGGGCGACGATCCGCAGGATCACTTGCCCAATCAGCATCAGAGTAACCAGATAAAGTTAAAAGAGACTGATTTGAGAAGTTTAATCTATGCAATAGTGTTCCCTTAAGACAACGAAGAATACGCAGAACTGCAGAGTAACGAGTAGTGCGAGGTGCATACATGAATTGATTAGCAGATGGACAACGTAAACAATATTAGAATGAGCGACTGTCAAGTAAATCAATATGCCAATAACTTGGCGATAAAGAGAAGGCTCTTCAAGAAGAGTCCCATCCATTGATGTAAGACAACATCCAACATCGAGAGGTGTCATATCTATCTTGCAATTAGTGAGACCGACTTGGCTTGAGACATGTAATATACATTAGAACCATCCAAAAACTCAAGACCCAAGAAATACCGAAGATGGAAAAGACTTTTCATAGAAAAATGCTTACAAAGGTAGTTATGTAAATCAAATATGCTAGAATGATCATTCCCAATGAGGATCATATCATCAACATAGAGAAGTAACACAATGATACCACAAATACTTCGTTGAACAAAAAACGACAGAGTTATGTGAACTAGAAGTGATGCCAAACTGAAGAAGAGCTGAACTTAACTTGGAAAACCAAGAACTAAGAGTCTGTATTAAGCCATAAAGAGCACGTCACAATTTGCAGACTTTAGAAGAAGGTAAAGAACCAACAGGAAATGCCATATAAAAATTCTCAAAGAGATCAACATGGAGAAGGTCATTCTTGACGTCTAACTGAAAAAGAGATCACTTACGAACAACTGAAATTACAATTAAACAACAAACATAGGTAAGACGTGCCACTAGAGCAAAGGTTTCCTTGTACTTAATGTCATGTCCCTATTATTAGCCTTTCACAACTAAACGAGCCTTGTAACACTCAAATGACACATCAAACTTAGTTTTAATATTGAAAATCCATTTGCAGCCAATAGGCTAATCAACAAAGACTTATGAATTAGTCTTCTCTAAAGTTTGCAATTGTTGAGACATTGTTTGTCGCCACAATGGATCATAATTTTCTTCATGAAATGAACTAGGCTAATGTAGAGTTAACATAGTAGAAAATAATAATAATCACACAAATGACTAGGTAGATGACTTACTTGATGTGGTCGATGAGATATGACATGAATGAAGGTGAACCAAAAAGAGATAAGATATGGAATTTAGACATGATAGAAAGTATTACACTATCTCAAAATGTAAATGATGATAGATACACAACCATTTAGAGATTAGATCCTAAAGCCTATAACCTTTGTGCACTATCCCATAAACGAGAAGACAATATAAACATGCAGGAGGTTCTAATTTGAAACGCTCATCCAAAGGAATAAGGATAAAATCAACACCATTGAGTGGACGGAGGATACCATATTTCAGGTAATTTTGATGTGTTTCAAACAATATATCCATATAAAGTGGGAGTAATCATCTATAAATATGACATAATAAGGACACTTACTTATATAGGGATCAAGAGAAGGACTCAAAATATCAAAATGAACTAAAGAAAATGGTTTACTTGCGATCAACACATTTCTGGAAAGGATAAGGCTGATTAATTTTCCAAACGATAGTGTAAATAGTCAAATGACTCAAAACTAGTAGAACTCAAATGACTTTTACTAAATAGAGACTGAATTTTAGATGAAGATGCATGACATAGACAAACGGGCCACTAGAGACTAGGGGAAGGAAGGATAGTAAGGGGAGTGTTAGTAGAAACAGCAGAAAAATTATAGAGAGCAATTTTTAAAGATTGTACCAAAAATCGATGACCCACTCGTAGACCTGTCTCAAGAATTTGACTCGTACATTGATCCTGAACCTGCACACCTGAAGAGGAGAAAGTAACAATAAGTCTCTACCCAATTAATTGGTCAACTGATACATGATTTAATGTCAAGTAGAGAATGCAGTAAGTATCAGAAAGATGTATAAATTGTAAAGATATACATCTCGAATGTGTGATAATCATGTGGCTCCCATTAGTAGTTTGTATAGGTGATGAAGATGACACATGGTATGCACCAGTCAAGAGACCAAGTGTAGGTGTCATATGTTTGCAACAACCAAAATCAAAGGACTACATGAAATGGCCATGACATGAGAGAAACTGGAAGCAAGAACTTGATGCGTATGATTCATGATATTTTAAAGGGTTGCAGATGCAGGGTGATAAGAAGACCGAATATTTCACGCATTCCAGAGCGGTCTAACATGATAATTCTGAATTTCATGACCTTGACGATGACAGTATTAATACTAAACCGATATAATACAATGATGACTCCAAATCTGAGCATATTCTTAGCTTGACGAAACTGTGTATTACTTGAATTTCTATATAAAAACCATCACAATGACTCATTAATAGCTTGACGAAACTGTGTATTACTTGAATTTCTATATAAAAATCATCACAATGACTCATTAATGGCATACATTAATGATCTATATCGCTTGGCATGATCCAGAATTCGTTGTTGAGATTATTAACGATTTTTGCCCTTTTTAAGCGGTAGTCTGGTGCCAAAAAAGCTAAGGCAGACGCCACAAGCGACAGCCACCTCCGCTCACAAGCGCCCAGAATACTTCCTGAAAAATACTAAGGCATGAGAGGCAAGCGGCAGCCTTCACCGCCCGCAAGCGATAGCCTCTCCCGCTTGCAAGCAACAGCCAAGACGCCCACCGCTGCAGAGTATCACCAGATTCTAACTAAGTGTTCCAACTGCAGCGGTACAACCATTTCATTTCCAACCAGCACAAGCGAGCCTAGCTGTGCTGATGCCCTCCAGCTCTCCGGCAAGCAAGGAAGATCTGAGCACTTACAGTTCAATGCAATCAAAGCGAACGCCCTGGGAGTTATGGCCAGCAACTGTTTCAACAGAATAACTACCAGTAACCGCCTAACTACCCAGCGGTTGGACCGCCCAGCAACCGATTGCAACCGCCCCATTCCACCTGCTATAAATAGCGCCAGATATCTTTACGAAAAGAGATCGATACTTCGATTAAAAATACTCTTAGCAATTACTTTTCGTAAGCAAGTCGTCTTCCTGTCTTCGAGAGCTCCAACCCTGTCAGGGAATTCTCCACAGGAATGGCCAAGGGAGTAGGGGTTTCCCTTCTCCCTTGGCCAAGTCTTTACAGCTTTCTTAGATTAGATTACTGTTTTCCTTTACATCTTTATAGCTCTAGTCTTTTCCTGCTTTCATAGTAGATAATGAAATATCATTCAGGTCTTCATCCTCATTTCTTCCAACTTTTTACACACTTGTATAAAGTTTGAATTTAGAGAATTTCATTTTACTGGTTTAGAGCAAGAGAAGAATTGATTATTTGAGCCTTGTTATGCGCCAAAAGCAGTTTCAAGGTAGTTCAATGTAGTTAAGTGCGCGGGAGCCTTGTCGACCTGCTTAACTACTGTTTTGAATTCAATTTTGATTAAAAAGAGGTAATAGAAGGGTAAAACCACTAATGAGGCAGATATTGGGAAAATTAACGGGGCATAGGTGGTGATCTATTAGGTCACAGAGATTCCTAGTGACAGTAGGGTTTCTTTCTTATAATGTCTCGATTCTGGGTGTCATTGAAGTCTTGTTGTGAATCCCTTAAGGTCAAATTCCAGTGTTATGAATTCTTTACATTCAGTTTATATAATTACATTACCCCCTTCTCTCCGCGTCCGTAAAATACATATATTTTCGATAACACACTTACATCGCTCGCTCACTACATCCAGGGAAATCTATCCATTTAGTAACGCACAGTTCAGACACAACATATCTCATTCACTCTTTGTCGCTCATATATATATACATATAATGTGCCGCTCGCTCATGTCCCGTTCACTCACTAACCACCATCAATCCATGTCCCATTCATCTGGTCCCCATTTCCGCTCATGTCCCAATCATCTAGTTACCGCTGGCACTTCATCTTCTGCCCTCGCTTCGTTCACTTTCGCTCACTTCATTTTTACCGCTTTAATTACTGCTTTCTATAGTCTAGCTTTTGGGTCCGCTGCAAGCGGATCCCTTCTTGCATTTTTTCGTCCCCTTTTCAAGATTTTCACCGTTGAAATTCATGACTTAAAATCCTTGTGTTCGACCTGGAAACTCACCAGTAAAAAGAGTATAAATAATTGTGATAACTACTCAGGGTCTACAACCACGACAATTACTATATCTGATCGCTTTTCTATAAACTTCCACTCACTGATTTTCGAATATAAATTTCCTGTGGATTTGTACAAGATTAAATAATACAAAAAATTCGGTTATCATACAACAACCGGTAGATTACATAAACATGACAGAAAAATCCAAAAAATAAAACTGTCACAAAAATCAAATCCAATGACAGCTTGATGTAGAGGAGGACGAGATGAGGCGGCAAACAAAAGATGGCAGCGATTGATGTCGGGTTGGCTCTCACGCACCGGTCAAAGTTCTGGTAGCATGAGAGTTGACCGGCGCATGTGACCTACATGCGCCGCTAATCAGCGAGATTTTTCTGGAGAAGGGTCTCCGGACGACGAGGAACACAATGGTGCCAGAGGTGAGAGTCGGTGATGGCCGGAAGTTGCCAAACATAATTTTGATCTATTGGCTCTGATATGATGTAAAAATTTGAGAGGAAAATAATTAATTGCATAAATAATAAAACAAACATTTATTTATAGGCATAGCACAATATGGATATAAATAAAAAATAAAATAAAACAATAAATGTTCCAATGATTATATATAAATCTAACGTTTGTAAAATATATTCTATGTATGCAGTTTTCTTATAGGCAATTTTGAAAACAGAAGAAGATAGGAATTCCCGTTCCTTTCCAATTTCTACAAAAACTGTAAGTATTTATTTTGTTTGGTATATTTGAGTGTATTTGTTTTGTGTTTGATGTATTTTTAAGGTTAGATATAAGGAAGTGCATTGAATATAAAATACTATTTTATATTGAATTATTGATTTTTTTAAATAGATATAATGTATTTTATAATTTGTGTAAATATATTTATACATGGTATTTTTATAATATTAATTAGAAAGTGTGTCAAAATATTTTGGGTTCAGTGAAAAAATTCGTTATTTTTCTTTGCAATTTCTTAAAATATGGTCGAATATGTAGTTGTTTTCGATGACTGGTTCATTTTTCATATATGCTTTCTTTTTTCTCAATCAGAAACTATCATTTTATAAAATAATTAATTATTAGATGGTGATGATAAAAAGTCATTGTTAAGAGATGACTTATGTAATAATTATAGTTGAAGTTATTGTACTAAATTAATAATTTGTGGCGTATATATTTGTGTTTTGAAGTTTTTTTTTTTTTTTTTTTGCTATTTTAAAAATATTAACAAATTTTGAAAATTTTAAATAATTATTAGATTATAAATTTTAATTTAAAATTAGATTCGATGATGATGTTTTCTTGAGGAAAACTTATTTAATATCCAAAAATTTAATCGGAAAAGAAAAAAAAAACACATTGCTCTCTTGATTTCAATCATTACATATAATAAAGATCGCTATTTTTTGGCTTTCTCTTGACTTGGCAACCACTTCCAGCATTAAAGCATATGTTCATCGTTTATAAAACAATGACAATTTTTTTTGTATTCATTTTGGTGATATATATGTCTGGAAAGATTAGCTTTATGTTTGATTTCTTTGCGCCTACAAGATTTATTCCAGTTTTTGACCATTTGTCCAGAGTGATCATAACCGAAGTTTAGAGTTTCATTTTCATGAACTGTGGGTTTTGGTAAGTTATAAGGATGATGATGTTCAAAACATAAAAACTGCTTTAATTGCATTAGATTAGAGGACATAGGGTACGAGCATTTTGTTGAATTAGTTTTGTAGTATCAAAATTGAAAAAAGAAAAAAAAAATAAATAAAAAGGTGTGCCCTAATAAACATTAAAAAAAGAAAGAAAAAAGAATTCTATGTGGAATTTTTATATTTTGCAGAAAGAAATTAGTTTGAGTATTTCTGCAAATTGTTTAGATATATTCATAAAATTTTGTTAAAATAGCAAAGTATAAATTTATTTATTCATTTATATTCATGAAATTTAATTTATTTATTTGGTAGATGAACTTTAGGGTGTGTTTACTTGTGATTTGGTTGTATTTTGATGTTTCGGATCTAGATAGTATCGAGGTTAAAATAGTTTTAAAATCGAATTCAAAGCTACAAGTAAAATAGGATTTTTATATACTTGATTTATTTTTTTGGGAAAAAATTAATTTGGGTCCCAATATAACCAAAATTGATAATTTTGGTCCCAATATAAAAAAACTCATCAATTTTGGTCTCAATATAATCAAAATTTATCAATTTTGGTCCCAATATAAAAAACTCATCAATTTTAGTCCCATTATAAACAATTTTAATCAATTTTGGTCCCACCATTAAAAAACTAACGAAAATTGCTAATGTAGACATGACGGAGGTGACGTGGCAATTGACCTGGAAAGTACACGGCCATGTACAATTATACACGGTCATGTTGTTACATGGCCATGTATATTTCAGTGTATAATTATACATGGTCATGTTGTTACACGGCCATGTACAATTATACACGGCCATGTACAATTATACACGGCCATGTACATTTCTATTTTAGTTTAAAATTTTATTTTTTTGTTATATTTTTTTTTAAAAAAAAAATATTTTGAATTTAAAATAGTTGATATAGTTAAAATGGACAAAATCAATAGTAATTATAATATAATTAAAATTTATTAATTTGATTCAAATGTAAAAATTTATAAGATATATTCTTTCGAAATGTTTTGTCTAAAATTTTATTATTCATAAAAAAAATTTTCTCTTACAATCCTCCAATTACATAACTATTTTTAAATTTTGTATATTATAGTAGTATTAAAAATTAATTTATTATTTCAATACATTAATTGATGTTTGTAAAAGAATTTGTTTTGTTAAATAATAGAATATTAGACAAAATCTTTCAAAAGAACGCACTCCATAAATACTTATATTTGAACTACAATTGATATATTTTAAATATATTATGATTATTATTGATTTTTTTTCCATTTTAACTATATCAACTATTCTAAATTCAAATATTAAAAATTAAAAAATATAACAAAAAATTAAAATTTTAGACCGAAAGCGAAAGGTACCCGGCCGTGTAGAATTATACATGGCCATGTAAAAACATGGTCATGTATAAGGTCATGTAACAACATGGCCGTGTAAAATTGTACATGGCCGTGTAACAACATGACCATGTATAATTATACACTGAAATATACATAGTCATGTAACAACATGACCGTGTATAATTGTACACCGTGTAACAACATGGCCATGTATAATTATACACTGAAATATGTATGTCCATGTAACAACATGGCCGTGTATAATTGTACATGGCCGTGTACTTTCCAGGTTCACTGCCACGTCACCTCCGTCGTGTCCACGTCAGCAATTTCCGTTAGTTTTTTAACGGTATGACCAAAATTGATTAAAATTATTTATAATTGGACCAAAATTTATTAAAATTGTTTATAATTGGACCAAAATTGATTGAAATTGTTTATATTGGGAGTAAAATTGATGAGTTTTTTATATTGGGACCAAAATTGATCAATTTTGGTTATATTGAGACCAAAATTGATGAGTTTTTTATATTGAGACCAAAATTGATGAATTTTTTTATATTGGAACCAAAATTGATAAATTTTAGTTATATTGGGACCAAAATTGATTTTTTCCCTTATTTCTTTCTCTTTCCCGGTCATATGATTTATCTTTTTTTTTTTTTTTTTTTTTTTCTTTTAAATGTCTGGCACAATTTGAATTAAACTAAGACTTTATTTTAGTTTATTTTATTTTTCGGACTCTTATGTTTATTAAATCAAGAATCTAGAATTGATTGAATATTAGAATATTTCAAACTACATGCATATAATCTTGGAGAGTCAAATAATATTATTTGACTTGAGGTGAATATTTTTCAATCTATTTTTATGATTCCTTTTTATTTTTCGTTTGATAGATTGTGTCATCATTGTTATTCAATTAGTTTTTTCTATGCTTAACAAAGAACTCAAATCAACGAGATTGTGGAAATAAAGCAAATATTTTATGGATTGTTAATGTCATTTTTATAACTCGATATTTTAAAATATTCTATTTCTGCAGGATTCTTGAGACAAGTTTGAAGGCAGAAAAAGACACAACAAATTATTATTATTTGATGAGATTTCAATTTCTACAGAATGGTAACATTTTCTATTTTATTTAATTTTTAAATATTTATTTGTATTTACAATTTCTTAAAATAATATTGCTTTTGATGGGTTTAAGGTAGCTATTGTAATGGGCTAAGTCTAATTATTTAAAAAGATGATTGAACATCAAATATATCTAGATTTGAATATTTGTATTCAATTTAAATTTTGTAGCCTGTTAATATAGTATTGTAAAAAAGAATACATTGTATTTTTAAGTAGGATGTTATTTTAAAAGAAAATGCAAATATTTGTCTTTTAGTAATATATTGTGAAAATTTGTCAAATTATTTTAGATATTTATTATTTGCCTCACTTAGTTTTATTGGACAAAGATTAAATATTTTTATTTATTATCAATGTCATAGTTTTTATATATGACATCAGATAACTTATTAGGTCTATTAGATATATGTTTGGTATACATTAAAGTTAAAATATTCCTATGTCGAATATTCTATTTGTCGTTTGTGAAGAATTTGAGTTGACCTTCCATTTATGTGCTTTGTAAGTATAAAATTAATTTTTTTTTTTGTTCCAAATTCTAATGCAAATATACATTGATATCATTTTTTTTTGTTATTTATAAAGTTAATGCACATTTTGCCTATATTGCATGTTGGTTTTTTTTTTGTTCTTTCCTTGTTTTGCAATCATGGGTTATAAAACTAAATGTCAAAACCATTATTTCTACAAAAACAAAATGGAATGTCAGCCTAGTTAGTCTTACAAAAATTATATGTTATAATTTATTTATTACTAAATAGAATACCCAACACAACTACTCCCATGAAAATAATAATTTTTTTTTATCCCACTACTTTTTAAATTCTGTACTGATTATAATCAAAATATGCATTGAGAATATTCCAATTGAGTTCAAATTAGCTAAAGAAATGATACATTTGAACCAACAACAAAATCATGAACTCAGAATCAACAATGGGAATGTACGACAGAGTTATTGTGGTTAGAGACGAGAGAAGGGATTCTCGGTCGAGGCACGAGGGGAATGGCAGAGCCATCGTACTAAGAGATGAGAGAAGGGAATTGGTGTCTCCTGCACTGAGGATTAGAGTTCTTCTGTACGAGATAACACCGAAGATGCTGGAGATTACTTTTGGTGCATTGAAAGGGTTAGTGCAGCCGAGATATGGTTGAGAGAAAAATCTCTATTGAACTGATGAGCATGGGGCTGCTCGACAAGGATGAAGTGGCACAGGTACCGTTTCTCGAGTTGGTTGATCCTGTGAGAGATGTGCTGCTGCTGGAGGCGGCACCTATACTGACTGAAGAAACACAAAACTAGATATCTGCATTGATCAAGCATATATTTGGAAGTGGTAATGTTTTAATATTTGCCTTTTTTTTCTTTTTCATTTGCTTATCAGTAAAAACTTCAAAGGGAGGAAAAATGTAACATTATGATTTCTCCAACATGGTTGTAGATTAAGAAATGGAGAGCCGTCATGTTCTTGACATGACATGATGGGATGACCAACCTGAAACAGGAGATGAACTTCCCACTACAACTGGATTTTATGATAAGGTTCCAATAATTTTGTTAGTTCTCATTTGTTATTGAATGCCTCCTGTGAACAATATCTTCACTAAATATGCAGTTTTAATCTTTTATTCGATACTGAAATTGAACTTCCATGAGCTGCAGGTCGATGAAGAGCTCCAAGCAGCTCAAAATGAAGGACACACAGGCGAAAACCATGGCCGGTCATATATGGGTAGCCGAGGAGTGATTTGCACGGCCTTCACGCCAAACAGCTTAAAACCCGACCCATTTTCTAAGGGTACATTCATTCCCCCAAGAGAACTCTTGTCTGCAACAATTGGTGTCGTCACCCCAAACAGTCGAAAACCCAACCCATTTTCCACAGGCCCCTTCATACCCCCATAAGCATCAGTAGCTACGTCCGTACCAAAGAGTTTGAAACTCGGGCAATTTTCCAGAGGTGTCTCAACACCATTGTTTCCCGAAACAGTAGTAGATGCCGTCACACCAAATAGTTTAAAACTCGAGACACTCTCTGTAGCTGCCCCGACACCTGCAAGAGGATAATTTCCGAATAGTTTAAAATTCGGAGCCTTCATGCCCACTCTAGCATTGTCCATTCTTTGGTTTTCACAATTCCCATTGCTAGTCGCTGCACAGCCGCCCTTCTTATAGGCCCCGTCGATCATGCAAATTTTCTTATCGCCGCACCAACCAGGATAATTCTGACAGCCCTTCCGATAGGCCCTCCAATTCGGTGGATACTTTTACCAAAGGTTCAATAATTTATGTTGTGGATGAGCTGTCTGGCGATGAAGACTTCGCTCTCACAAAGAGCCGAAAAGTGAAAAATGACGAAAGAGTTGACACTGCAGAGGACAGCGCGCCTGTGGATGCTTCAGGGCAGCGCAGAATGGGAACTCCAAAACGGAAGGCTGCAGTGAACTCTCCTCAAAGGAAGACGAAGTGGAGGAGGCTGTCGGAAATCTGTGAAGTCGAAGAACACAGATTGGAGCAGGAGAGTGCAGTCTCAAAGGCACAGCGTTAGAAAGCTCCACAGACTAGCAGAAACAGTGGTAATGGAGATGACATGCCCTGTTGGCTTAAAGGGATGATTTAAGCTCATGACAGGGGCCAAAGCGAAGAAGATGACGCCAAAACGATTTGACATCTCCAAGTTTCTAGAAGAATCCATTCTTGGACTACCATCTGGGACAATGCATACCACCGAAGCTGAAAACTACTGCACTTCCGAAGAAGTTCAGTTTTGAGGACAATGTCGTTCCACTGACAGACGAGGAGCAGAGAAAAGCTGAGTTGATGAAGGAGGTGGACAATTTGATTGATGAGTTAACTGTGGTATGGAAGAAATGGAAACAATTACCTGCCATGAGGTAAGTCAATTAGTTTCAATGGAGAATAATTGATTCAACACGGATTGAGGATCAATTCAGCATTATTATTATGAAGAAAGCAATATGATAACTAACACGGCCTGCAGGCTGTTTATGTGCAAGAGGAGGGGAGGACGAAGACTCTCAGCAGCGTAGATGTGCTCGAGGGCTTCATGAATTTACATTAGAAGACGATCAAGGACTGTATTGTATTTGCTGTCAACATGTGGCGATTCATCCAAAAAACTAAAATTAGAAAATCATCCAAGTGTTGGTAACATCAAAATTGTTCCTTTTAATTTATCTATTCTCCCTAATTCTGCACTACTATTTTATCCGAAAGTAGGTCAGTTTAATTTTAGGTTGATTTAAAATTTGTGCAGCTACCCCTATTTATATGACTAGCGGCTCTATTTGGAGCATCAAGGTTGGTGTACGAGAATATATGTACTAACACCAGCGAGAAGGATTTAAGTTCCTCTGGAAGGACTTGGCAGGAAGTACTGATATTGCCGAGTTAAAGAACTCAAATCTACCAGGTACTGGAAAGACATGTCTGACAATAGTATTCCTTGATACGTATCTAAAGATGTTTCCAAACTATCTGTCGATAAACATCGTGCCAGCCAACATACTTTGTACTTGGAAAGCAGAGATCAGAATGTGGAGGCTATCCGCATGGTGAAAATATATTCGTGGAAGAGAGGGGGAGGCCTTTTGGGGATTAGCTACAATCGTTTCGAGAAATTAACGGTGCAGAGGCACGTGGATGAAGCAAATGTAGGCGAGGAGGGGCAGACGACAGTTTCTGAATAGAAGTTAGAAGTTCTGAGGTCGACACTTCTTGAGATGCCTGAACTAGTGATTCTTGATGAAGGCCATACTCCTCGTAACAACAGGAGTAAGATTTGGACATCCCTGGTTCAGCTCAAGAGAGAAAAGCACGTCATATTTTCCGGGACACTGTTCCAAAACAACTTCAAAGAGCTGTTCAACACCCTGAAGATCGTAAGGCTGTGCAGTGCAGATGCTCAAAGTCTTCATGTCACCGTTTGTGCATGTGCACAAGGGAACTGTCCTGCAAAAGAAACTAATCGACAGGTTGGAAGAGGAAGGTTAAGAGTGAATTTAGATTTTCTTTGGTATCTATACATCCTTACCTCACCCAAAAATACAAGTCGCAAGTGCCAACCAATCCAAGTCATATGCAAGCAGTCGAGGCGTCAAAGCTCATTCCTGGCGAAGGGTCAAAATAAAATTGATCCTCAAGTTTGTCCACCTCAGTATGATGCTGAATGAAAATTCATCTTCAGCCAGTATATTCTGCCCTTGGATCGGATGAAAGAGGATCTGACCGCGACCTATCAGACAATGTCTTCTGCTCTTCTTCAAACTAGAAGGATATATCAAAGCAGCAGATGCCGGAGATTGAGGACAGGATTCTGGAAGATATGATCCAGCACACGAAGACAAAGATATACTTTAAAAGGTCATCCACCAGCCGAAGAAAGCTGACTTGATCCAGTCCTTGGGCATCAGAGGTTGAGAATATTCCCGGGAGTATGTATAAAGTTACATGTTGAGTTAAAGCTTTTTCGAGGAAACAAATTGATGAGTTGATTGATCATTTTTGTTTGGGAATTGTTTGGTTGATTTGTTGTAAGAAACAAAATGTATTGATTGTGCAGTTTTTTAAGAAGTTGGGAACTATATTTTTTCCCTCTTATCATTTGGTAATTTTCGCTTGTTCTATGGCAAAAACAAAATATAATTGATTGTCATTCCTATAGGTTTCCACTGATTTTCAAATGCAGAAATATATAAAATAGGATGTGATTTGTGTAGACTAATGACGAATTTTGTGAATTTTTAATTTCTCTTTTTTTGAACGATTGTTAATTTAAAATTGCTCTAAGTTTGCACTAAATATGTTTGATTGGATAGACTAAGTTATAAGGTTTTAAGAATGTTCTCTTAATATTTTGATAGTGATTTTTTGTCAGTCTACTTTGTTGTCCTTCTATTATATAAGTGTGTTATATATAATAAAATTTTAAAATAATTATCTTTTAGTTTTCTCTTGTTAAATTTTTTTGTACAAACGATACTTTCGTTATTAGTGATTTAGAAAAGACAATGTATTGCTAATGGAAAAAGAGATGATGCATCCATTAAGCAGACATGATGAATTGAGTAAAAGAGAATTTTATGAATTGAGTAAAAGAAAATTTTAGTGAAATAGGAATCCCTAAAGAAATATTTCCTATGTATTTAGTTTGTGATTTGTGTTTTTTTATAGTTTTTTTTTTTTTTTTTTGTGTGTGAATAATAATTTGAAGGTGATTATTTGTAAAACTAAAATACTCTTACAAAATTTCGTGAAAGTTTAATTGTTAAAAATAAAAATAATAAACAGAGATTTAGAAATTAATTAGTCTACATTACAATGAGGCAAACATGGTTAAAAAATTTAAAAATCAATTAGTTTTCATAATGCTTGACTATATTATTTCTTTACGTCCCATTCAATATGTTTGAGTCAAATATGTGTATCAATTTCAGTTCCCCTTACCAACATAATAATGCACACAAAAGAATTTTCAAAAGAAAAAGAAAAAAGAAAACTCTCTAATTCCAAAATTCCTACTGAAAACACAATATCGTTTAAAATTCAGATTTAAGATTACTTAAATCCAAATAACAACAGTGCATCATTTCTAATTTCAATGTTCCAAAAATCAATCCAATCAAACGGGTTGTTTTTTGTTGTAAACATTCTTTAACTTATCTAACTCACAAAGAAACTAATCAAAACCTGACTTTGAGTTAGGTGTCAGAGTTCTCAGAGAAAGTAACTTATGCATCAAATATTTCATGTGCAAACAGGAAATTTAATTTTCACACCACTACATTAATCGTAACTGAGAATTTCAAACAACTAGTCCAATCAAGGCGGTTCATCCTTTTGAATACTCTTTGACTTATCCAACAAAAATAATTAAATCATACCTTAATTTTTGTTAGAAATCAGAACTTGGAACTAACTTATCCATTGAATTTTTTACATACACCGAAAAATCCGTGCAAGATGTCAGGGAAAAAATGGTCAACAATGAGATTTTTTATTTGTTACTATTGTTTAAAGAAAAATAATAAAAAGTAACTATAATACAAATAAAAAGTCCAAAAAAAGAAAAGTTTAAGTATTTAATAACTATATATTTTTTTTTCTTAAAACTATATATATTTACCTTGCAGACTATAATTAAAAAATAGAATAAACACACCATTGACATTGTCTTGGTAAATGGTAAATTCAATTATTATATATAATAAATAAAATTCATTGTTCTCCAGTCTTTCGCTGACATTTTGTAAGGATTTTTCGGTCAATGTGAAAAATTCAATGGATAAGTTAGTTTCAACTTTTGACTTCTAACAGAAATCGATGTATGATTTAATTTAAAAATTGTTGCCAACATTAAGAATAAAAAAGATAAATCATATTGTTAAAATATGAAACTGAAATTCTCTTTTTCAATCGTAAGAATACGTACATATTTATAGTGATATATAAATCGTCTAAATAAGACAATAATCACATGAATCTTTTAAATAAAATAACTACCATAAATATAATATACCGCTTCTAAATTTATTTTAACACCCCTCCTCAAACTCAAGATAAGATGGAACAAACTTGAGTTTGTCAGAAGTGACCGAAAAAGATATAGCCGAGATTTGAATTGGCCAAGACTAACTGAAAGTGGTGTAGTTGTCCACTGGATCAGAGTCAGAAGCAGAACTCTCAACACAGTTATAATTGGAAACATGACTCACTCATTCTCAACGGAACTAGAGCCGAAAACAAGACTCGCTCACTCTATAGAGCTAGAGTCGGAAACAAGACTCGCTCGCTCACAACAAAGCTAGAGTCGGAAACAGGACTCCCACACTCTCAATAGAGTTAGAGTCGAAAATAGGACTCTCAACGGCATTAGAGTCGAAAGTAAACTCTGTCAATGTAGTAGTATAGACGGAGGCGACATGAAAATAACAACATGATCGTGGATAGAAGCAAATACATTAATAAAATATAAAAATATATACGGGATATAACGGTTATAATGGTATCCGGAGAGAATTTGACTCTAATACCATGTTAGAATATGATACTGAAATTCTCTTTTTCAATCATAAGAATACGCACATATTTATAGTGATATATAAATCGTCTAAATAAGACAAGAATCTCACAAATCTCTTAAATAAGATAACTACCATAAATATAATATGTTGCGTCTAAATATATTTTAACACATATGATGATTGGAAAAGAGAAAAGAAATTAATTAAGACTATAAAATTCCTATTTTACACATGGCTTCAAATTTACTTTTTTAATTATTTTACCGTTGAAATCATCTAGATCTGAAACATTAAAATAAAACCAAATCACAAGTAACACCCTAAAGTTCATCTATCTAATAAACAAATAAAATTTCATAAATATAAATAAATAAGCACATAAATTACTAGTTTGCTATTTTAAAAAAATTGTCAAGCCTATCTTCTTTCATTGTAGTAACTCCCTCCCATGTAAAACATATATAGAAGCAAAGTGAGACAATGAAGTTTTAGTAAATTTCATACTTACCAATGCTTACATTTTCAAAGAAAAAAATAATAAATTATAATATGCCTCTCGAATCAAGATTAAGGATTCCTTAAAACCCTTCTTCCCCCTTCTATAATATGATGTTTAGCTTTAAAAAAATGAAGGAATAACAGTATCCACAATGCATCAAAGGAATAAGAGAGTGCATATAAGAATAGATTGATAAAAAAAAAAACATCACCTAATTTTAGATGGCACTCACCAAATAATGGATTTAAAATGTCAGATCTCCGAATTCCTTAGTACTGAATTATAGAGATGGAAAAAAACAATATTATATCACTTTTTTTATAAATTTTGATTGGAAATCCACAATATCATCTGATCGAGAAGGAGATAAATAATCTCAAGTTTTTGTCAAACCTTGAGTGTATCGGAAGAACCTCGAGTGTATCGAAATAATTGCAAGTGTATCTAAATGATTGACAACATCAACAATTTATCAAAAGAGAAAGAGAAAAGGAATATGAGAATAGAGTAAAAAACAAACATCACCTTAAGTTTAGGTTCGGCTCTCCCAATAATAGATGTAGAATGTGAAATCTCTTAATTCCTTATGACCAAATTCTTGATTTAGGACATGTGTGTGGTTTGATTTATATAATTAAAAACATTAATATTCCTATAAGGGAAGAGATATGAGCTTTTTCTCGAACCTAGAGTGTGTCGTAGAATCGAACCTCAAGTGCATCGAAAAGTAGGTTCACTCGTATTTTAGTTAAAACAAATGATAATTGCATCAACAATCTATTAAAAGAGAAAATGAAGAATATGGTAATATATTGAAAAAGAGACATCACCTAGAGTTTGGATGCGACTCTCCAAATAGTTAGATTTAGAATTTCAATCTTCGAACTCTCAATCACTCAATCCAAGATTTAAAAAATGTGCAAGTTCACTCTCTGTAGATAATCACATAGGAATTTTATTATTAATATTCAAGGTCGGTACTACAAATTGAATTGGGTTGGGCCAAGAACGTTAAAAAAATCCAAAATGGGTAAATTTAAAAATAATGGATTATTAAGTGTTTGTTTACTTATTTTTTATTTTCACAGTTTTCAATGTACTCTTATATACCGTACACAATCTCTATTTTTTTTCATTCAAAATATACATACACTAATTAATAAAATTAATTAGTGTATGTATATCTCAAAATATAAAATTTAGAACTTCACAACAAAATTCAAGAGACACCTTAAAATGGTTCATCTATCAATTAATTCTTTTCATATCTTTAACAAATATAATGATCGTTATGAAAAATAAATTTTAAATTTTAAGTTAAAAAGAAAATGGAGATGTTGAATTTGACGTTTTGAACATAAATACAGGTATACTGAATGTTGCATAGCGTAAAAATAGATACAAAATAAAGTGCCTCTTATATTTCTTGCATTGTATACTTATTTATTATTAATTTGATTTTGTGATTTTTCATAGTTGTGATTTAGGTAAATTAATAATCCTTAATTTTCATGACTAAGATTATTGTTGGGATTTATTTTGGTCGAATTGTTCTCCAGCCTTTCGGACCCACTCCAATGTCTGTTTGGTGCGCGACCTGCATCTCCGACCCAGTTCAGATGGCCCAACCAACTGTGTCTAACCCTTGTCTCCTCAGGAGTGAATCCCAGCCATTCATTTTAGGGATAACGTCTGAGCCGTCCATCTTGAGTAATATATATAGTATTGTCCCTCATTATACAGAAGTATAGATGTGCCACTCCAGAAATCTCTCTCTCTAAAATATCGTCTCCCTCTAGCAAGTCACTCTTCTCCAATTGCCTTGTGTTCAAAGTTGGTCCTTTCTGGCCAATTTACCATAGAATGGAGAGGTGATTCTTCTGTGTGCCTTGGGGAGTGTTTGGTGAGGATTTCAACGGTTCGATTCTCCTTAAATCGAATTGTTTTCAATAGAGTGTTAGGGTTTCTTGCTTTGGTGTTGTAGACTAGGTTTTCGGTGGGTGTCCGTTAGCCGTCAACCGTTGCACTACTGTTTTTGGTTGCTCTTCATCTATAAGAGTATACCTCGTAAAATCTGAGCTACAATAGTTTGTGCTTTTGTGTTCCTACTGTGTTCTTGGGTCTTTTCTATTCTAATAAAAGTTCTATTTAGTTTCTTTAATCCAGTTTTAGATTTACTTTTTAGGTACGATTCAAATGGATCTAAATTTTAGATACACTAGAGAATTGTTCAATATACTCAAACTTGGACAAAACTCAAAATTATTTCGGAGAATTAAGTAGTCGAGAATTTGGAGATTTCGCATTTGCGATCCATTATTCGCAGAGTGGCATCTAAACACAAGGTTATGTTACTTTTTCAATCCACTCTTATTCGTGCATTTTCATTTCTCCTCTGATATACTTATGGTATTGTTATTCATTCAACTTTTAGCTACTATTGCACCCGATCTATATTTTTGATAGTCAAGATTTGTCTTATATACTCGTGGTCAGACATAAACTAAAAATTAATTTGGAGAATTGACTAGTCTAGATTCGATTCATTGTTGATTTTTCCATTTATTTACTTTTTAGGTAAGACTCAACTGCATCTCACTTTTCGATACACTCGAGATCTTTTCAATATAGTTGAGGTTGGAAAAAACTCAAAACTAATTCCGGAGAAGTAAATACTCAAGAATTTCAAGATTTTATGTTTTAGATCGTTTTAGATCCATGATTTGCAGAGTGGCTTCTAAACACAATGTTATGTTTCTTTTTCGGTCTATTCTTATACATGCATTTTCCTTTTTGCTTTGTACATAGTTGGTATTGTTTTTCATTCAATTCTTCGCTACGATTCGACTAGTTCTAAATTTTTGATGTAATCAAGATTTTTTTCCATATACTCGAGGTTGGATAAAACCTCAAAATCTATTCAGAGAATTGAGATGGCGAGAATTAAAAGTATTGTTGATATAGCTATTCATTTATTTTTTAGGTATGATTCAGTTGGATCTAAGTTATTGATGAGATCAAGATATTTTCAATAAATTCAAGGTTGGACTAAAATCAAAATTATTTCAGATAATTAAGTAGTCGAGAAATTGGAGATTTTACATTTTAGATCCATTATTTGGAGAGTGGAATTTAAAAATAAAGTTATGTTTCTGTTACAATCAATTCTTAGGCATGCATTTTTGTTTCTGGTTTGATACATTGTTCGTATTGTTAATCATTCAATTTTTTGCTATGATTCAACTGGATCTAAGTTTTTGATATACTCAAGATTTTTTTCGATATACTTGAGGTCGGACATAAACTCCAAATTAATTTGGAGAATTGCGTAATTCAGAACTCGATACATTATTGATATTATTATTCATTTAGTTTTTAGGTACGATTGAACTGGATTTAAGTTTTTGATACACTCGAGAATTGTTCAATATATTTAACGTTGGACAAAACTCAAAATTATTTCGGAAAATTAAGAAGTCAAAAATTTGGAGATTACGTATTTGTGATCTATTATTCGCAGAGTGGCATCTAAACACAAGGTTATGTTGCCTTTTCAATCTACTCTTATTCATGCATTTTCATTTCTCCTTTGATATACTAATGGTATTGCTATTCATTCAACTTTTAGCTACTATTTGACCGGATTTATGTTTTTGATGTACTCAAGATTTTGTAAATACTTGAGGTCGGACAAAAACTAAAAGTTAATTTGGAGAATTTACTAGTCTAGATTCGATTCATTGTTGATATTTCCATTCATATAGTTTTTAGGTACGACTCAACTGCATCTCACTTTTCGATAGACTCGAGATTTTTTCAATATAGTTGAGGTTGGAAAAACTAATTCCGGAGAATTAAGTAGTCAAGAAAGTCAAGATTTTACGTTTTGTATCATTTTAGATGCATGATTTGCAGAGTGGCTTCTAAAAACAATGTTATGTTTCTTTTCAATCTATTATTATACATACATTTTCCATTGTGCTTTGTACATTGTTGATATTGTTATTCATTCAATTCTTCGCCAACGATTCAACAAGATCTAAGTTTTTGATGTAATCAAGATTTTTTTCGATATACTCGAGGTTGGATAAAACCTAAAAATTAATTCGGAGAATTGAGATGGCGAGAATTAAAAGAATTGTTGATATTGCTACTCATTTAGTTTTTAGGTATGATTTAGTTGGATCTAAGTTTTTGATGAGGTCAAGATATTTTCAATATACTCAAGGTTGGAAAAAAATCAAAATTATTTCGGATAATTAAGTTGTCGAGAAATGGGAGATTTCACATTTTAGATCCATTATTTGGAGAGTGGAATTTAAAAATAAAGTTATGTTTCTGTTACAATCTATTCTTATACACGCATTTTCATTTCTGGTTTGATACATTGTTGGTATTGTTATTCATTCAATTTTTAGCTAAGATTCAACCGGATCTAAGCTTTTTATATATTCAAGATTTTTTGCAATATACTTGAGGTCAGATAAAAACTCCAAACTAACTTGAAGAATTGTGTAATTAAGAACTCAATACATTGTTGATATTACTATTCATTTTGTTTTTAGGTACGATTCAAGTGGATTTAAGTTTTTGATACACTCGAGGATTGTTCAATATACTCAAAGTTGGACAATAACTCAAAATTATTTCGGAGAATTAAGAAGTGGAGAATTTGGAGATTACGCATTTGTGATCCGATATTCGTAGAGTGGCATCTAAACACAAGGTTACGTTGTTTTTTCAATATATTCTTATTTATGTGTTTTCATTTCTACTTTGATATACTTATGGTATTGTTATTCATTCAACTTTTAGCTACTATTCGACCGGATCCATGTTTTTGATATACCCAAGATTTTTTTATATACTCGAGGTCGGACATAAACTAAAAATTAATTTCGAGAATTGACTACTCTAGATTCGTAAAATTGTTGATATTGCCATTCATTTAGTTTTTAGGTATGACTCAACTGCATCTCACTTTTTGATACACTCGAGATTTTTTCAATATACTTGAGGTTGGAAAAAACTGAAAACTAATTCCGAAGAATTAAGTAGTCGAGAATTTCAAGATTTTATGCTTTACTTTGCAGAGTGGCTTCTATTACAATGTTATGTTTCTTTTTCAATCTATTATTATACATGCAATTTCCTTTTTGCTTTGTACATTGTTGGTATCGTTATTCATTCAATTCTCCACTACGATTCGAGTAGATCTAAGTTTTTAATGTAATCAAGATCTTTTTCGATATACTCGAGGTTGGATAAAACCTCAAAATTAATTCGGAGAATTGAGATGGCGAGAATTTACAGTATTCTTGATATTGCTACTCATTTATTTTTAAGTATGATTCAGTTGGATCTAAGTTTTTGATGAGGTCAACATATTTTCAATATTCTCAAGGTTCGACAAAAATCAAAATTATTTCAGATAATTAAGTAGTCGAGAAATTGAAGATTTCACATTTTAGATTAATTATTTGGAGAGTGGAATTTAAAAATAAAGTTATGTAACTATTATAATCTATTCTTATACATGCATTTTCGTTTCTGGTTTGATACATTGTTCGTATAGTTATTCATTCAATTTTAGGCTACGATTCAACCGGATATAAGTTTTTGATATACTCAAGATTTTTTTCGATATACTTGAGGTTGGACAAAAACTCCAAACTAATTTGGAGGATTGCATAATTGAGGACTCGAAACATTGTTAATAAAACTATTCATTTAGTTTTTAGGTACGATTGAACTGGATTTAAGTTTTTGATACACTCGAGAATTGTTCAATATACTCAAAGTTGGACAATAACTCAAAATTATTAAAAATGAATATAAGAAGTCGAGAATTTGGAGATTACGCATTTGTGATCCATTATTCGCAGAGTGGCATCTAAACACAACGTTATGTTGTTTTTTCAATCTATTCTTATTTATGCGTTTTCATTTGTCCTTTGATATACTAATTGTATTGTTATTCATTCAACTTCTAGCTACTATTCGACCGGATTTATGTTTTTGATATACTCAAGATTTTTTTTATATACTTGAGGTTGGACAAAAACTAAAAATTAATTTGGAGAATTGACTAGTCTAGATTCGATTCATTATTGATATTGCCATTCATTTACTTTTTAAGTACGACTTAACTGCATCTCACTTTTCGATACACTATAGATTTTTTCAATGTACTTGAGGTTGGACAAAACTAAAAATTAATTCCGTAAATTTAAGTAGTTGAGAAATTAAAGATTTTATGTTTTAGATATTCTTAGATCCATTATTTGCAGAGTGGCATCTAAACACAAGTCTATGTTTCTTTTTCAATCTATTCTTATACATACATTTTCCATTCTGCTTTGTACATTGTTGGTATTGTTATTCATTTAATTCTTCGCTACAATTCGACTAGATCTAAGTTTTTGATGTAATCAAGATTTTTTCCCCTGTACTAGAGGTTGGATAAAACCTCAAAATTAGTTCGAAGAATTGAGATGGCGAGAATAAAAAGCACTGTTGATACTGCTATTCCTTTAGTTTTTAGGTATAATTTAGTTGGATCTAAGTTTTTGATGAGGTCAAGATATTTTCAATATACTCAAGGTTGGAAAAAAATCAAAATTATTTCGGATAATTAAGCAGTTTAGAAATTGGAGATTTCACATTTTAGATCCATTATTTGGAGAGTGGAATTTAAAAATAAAATTATGCTTCTGTTACAATCTATTATTATACATGCATTTTCGTTTCTGGTTTGATACATTGTTGGTATTGTTATTCATTCAAATTTTAGCTACGATTCAACCGGATCTATGTTTTTGATATACTCAAGAGTTTTTTCGATATACTTGATGTTGGACAAAAACTCCAAACTAATTTGGAGAATTGCGTAGTTGAGAACTTAATACAATGTTGATATTACTACTCATTTCGTTCTTAGGTACTAATCAATTGGATTTAAGTTTTTGATACACTCTAGAATTGTTCAATATACTCAAAGTTTGACAATAACTCAAAATTATTTCGGAGAATTTTAGAAGTCGAGATTTTGGAGATTACGCATTTGTGATCCATTATTCGCAGAGTGGCATCTAAACATAAGGTTACGTTGCTTTTTCATTCTATTCGTATTTATGCGTTTTCATTTCTAATTTGATATACTTATGGTATTTTTATTCATTCAACTTTTAGCTACAATTCGACCGGATTTATGTTTTTGATATACTCAAGATTTTTTTTTTATATACTTGAGGTCGGACAAAAACTAAAAATTAATTTGAAGAATTGACTAGTCTAGATTCGATTCATTATGAATATTGCCATTCATTTGCTTTTTAGGTACGACGTAACTACATCTCACTTTTCGATTTATATATATATGCATTCTTGTTACTCATTTGATTGATTGTTGATATTGTTATTCATTCAGTTTTAGGCTACGAGTCAACTGGATCTAAGGTTTTTATATACTCAAGGTCGGACTATAATTCAAAATTATTTTCTCTCTTTCTTGGGCAAATGATTTTGTCAAATGTTTCTTAAATCCTTAATGAAGTAATCGATAATTCAATGATTTCATACTTTACATATATTATTTGGAGCGTTGAATAAAAACTCAAGATGATGTTTCATTTTCAATATATTTTTTTTGTATATGTTTTCCTTTTCTCTTTTGATGTTGCTATGCATTAACTGTTATTTGATTAGATCTAGCCTTTATACATATATATATATGTATATACACACACACATTAAAGTTTATTTCAATACACCCAAAGTTTGACTAAAACATAAAATAATTTGCCAAAATTAAAAACCAAAATTGGTGAAGATGGAAAAAACCTTTATAATAAACTAGATCATAGAAATAAAGTAAAGGTTACATGAATTGTTGTTCTCATTACTATAATATTTTGGGAGGAAAAAAATTATGTACATTAAAAATAAAGCCAATGCCTATTTATAGCCATAGTCTAAAATGGATAAAAATGAATAATGAGATAAACAAATAAATATTCTAAGCCGTAAATGTCAACCCGAGTTTGTGTAAGAGAGCATAACTGAGCAAGATAATGTGTGTCACTACGGCACGCATGCCAACACGAGTCATTTTAGCAGAGTTTTTTCGTTACTCACGTGTACCATGGGAGACTTTTCAGGGGATCACCCCTCCTTAAATTACTCTAAGATAAGCACGCTTAACTCTAGAGTTCTTTCAGTAGGGCTTCTGAAAAGAAATATGCACATTGTTGACATAAGTAGTATATTCAACCAATTTATTTACTATTCAATCCCGGATGGTCTGACATTGGCTCATCCACGGGAGTTGGGCTAGCATCGGCCCAACTTCGGGGTATTACATCCTCTCGCACTTAAAAATGAAACGTCCATGTTGCACACCAATGATCTATCAATTACTAGGCCTCTATGGGGATACTATGGTCATGTATCTTGACTGCGACGATGTCAATATTCCTATGGGGATTATTTCGGTGAAGGATTCCGATGGACGAGATCCTTCAGTACTATAGGGTCTCGATTGCATCACGATGTCATTGTTGTCACATAGAAATGGAGACTATTCCACATCTCTTCATTGTTTCGGCGGTTGTCTGCGAGTGTTGGAGCTTTTTACGGCGCTTTTCAGGCTATCTTTGCCGGAAACACATACTCTGCATCTATTTGTGTCCTCATGGAGGCATTCTTCAGAATATTCTCAGTGTATTAGAGCTTATGTTCCGTTGTTGATACTATGGTTCATTTGGATTGCTCGGAACGATGCGAAGCACAGGGGGCTTCGCGGGTCTTCTTGCGGATTCATTCACACTTGCAGACTCTTTGGCGTGCTAGGATTCTTCTACGTCGACATTGGGAGGGTGATTTTCATATAGCTGATGGGCTTTGATTTTGACATCCTGCTCTGATTCCTCGGCCTCCAATTATGGTGTGTTGGGAGGCACCATCTACGGGATGGTTCAAGCTTAACACAGATGATGCTTCGCTTGGAAATCTAGAGCGGCAAGTATTATGCGAGATTCGGAATGAGCAATACTCATAGTGTTTCAAACCCCGATTCCATAGGCGACGAACACTTTGGCAGAGATGATGGCGATTCAGACTAGAGTTTGGATAGCGATTGATCAAGGACTTATGCCACTATGGATTGAGACAGATTCGACAACATGCATCTCTTTGATCTCCTCCGAAACAAGCGACTGGACTCTCCAGCGATGCCTTATGTGTATTCGATTGTGGCTTAGGGATACGACTTGGCGGATATCTTATATATATAGAGGGGAACTGTGTCACAGATGCCTTAGCGACTTTAGCATTTTCTCTTCCAATTTGACAGATGCTTCTCCCGACGGATATCCCTTTATTGACTAGAGGCCTATTTCGAGCGGATGCAGACGGTCTCCCAACTTTCCGTTTCAGATAGCAGGCTTCACCTTCTTACTTCTCCTTGGGACACTTATGCTTAGACTTGATAGGCTTGTTGGTGTTGATGCTTTAGGCATACCTAGGCTTGTCTGGTCTGCTTGCTTGGCTGGGACTATATAGTTTGTATCAGAAAAACTACGTATGGCTTGATCCCATTCGGGTACGTAGGCAGCCCAATTTGGGTTCAGCCTTTGCTTATAAAAAAAATAAAAAATTGCTAGGCCTTTCAACAATCAGGTTAACAACTTTGGGCTATCGCAGGTCAGCTCTTATATCAACTGTGAC